TATATATTTTTTTTTTTTTGTGGCATTTGAAAATTGATTTAATTATTACATTAAATTAGAAATGAATGCATTTATCAGCAAACATGTATTACATGTATTATTTAATACATATTTATAATATGTAATACATAATACATATTATTTAATACATCCTTTGTAGTATACTATATGCTGACATGCTTTTGATGCATAGACAGTTGCATAGACAGTTTTCATAAGTTTAACTTTATGCAAATGAGCAGTCACACCACATGAAGTGATATCATGAAAAATGATGCATGGAAAACTGTGATGGAACTGTCGCATTCTGAGTGAGTTTGATTCATACATGGATAATCGTTCATCTTGTTCATGATATGATGCATTATGCACTACTGCAATTTATAAACAAACACTTTTGCCTCCCAAATATAAATTTTTAGCAGCAAGAAAATAGATTCTGTGTCAAATAAGAATGGCATGTTATTGCTACCGGCAATGCAAACCATTTGGGTAGTGATCAAATCAAAAGCAATGGGTTATTGATGGATTGCACGACTGCTCATTGCTTTTGATCGGATCAAAACACAAATGGGATCAGATTAACCCACCCAGTAACCCAGTAACACCCAGAATACAACCCCTTTTCGACCTCTAGTGATAAAATCAATGTATGAACAGTTCATCAGAACTCATTAACAGTGAATTAAAGCAGCATTAACTCTGCATCAGTAATCAATGACACAAATACAGATGAAGATCCAGCTTCAGTAATTTCTACATTATTCAATTTGACACCGAAAGTCCATTTATTAGAGTCTTCGGCAATTCAAACTCAAGGTCTGCTGGGATCTCTCTAAAAGTGTCCTTCTGCGAACTGTTACATAGAAATCTCTCCACAAAATAATTTTTTCAGGAAATGCTTACACAACATACCAGCGTTTTAATGACCAGATTAAAACGAGTTTACAATGTACTCTAATCCGCCCTAAGGAATGCTAATTTAGACTTTAGACACCCAGCGCTGTTTTATGTCCAGTATCATAAGCAGTTCATCTCATGAACTGTGTTAATTATGTAAGGAATAACGTACAATCAGATGGTCATTACTGCAAAATAAACCCGACGGGGAGATCAGACCCCAACGTGGAGCGGAGCAGGATGGGGAGGTTGTCTAATCAGAATCAAGTATTCCAGAGAGCTGCGCACATAATAAAAGACATAACAGTTCTGATCTGCAAGCGGCTCATAATGGACATTCAGAAACACTAGACCAGGTGATATCAAATGAAAATGAGTCTGTACAACTGGCCATCAAACCTTGCAAACATATGTGACCCTGGGACACAAAACCAGTCATAAGGGTCAATTTTTTGAAATTGAGATTTATACATCATCTGAAAGCTGAACGAATGATCTATTGAACTAACTGAAAATCTGGAATCTGAGGGTGCAAAAAAATCAAAGTACTGAAAAAATCACTTTTAAAGTTAAAGTCCAAATTAAGTTCTTAGCAAAGCATATTACTAATCAAAAATTAAGTTTTGATATATTTGCGGTAGGAAATTTACAAAATATCTTCATGGAACATGATCTTTACTTAATATCTTAATGATTTTTGGCATAAAAGAAAAATAGATAATTTTGTATAACCCATAAAATGTTTTGTTGGCTATTGCTGCAAATATACCCCAGCGACTTAAGACTGGTTTTGTGCTCCAGGGTCACATATTGCAATAGGGATAAGCAGTATTGTTTCTTACTTAAACTGTCTTTATAGGAAGAAATAGTA